GCTGTGCAAACTACATAAAGATGTCTGCTCAAATCACAACTAATTAATACTTAAAAAAACACAAATTAGATATGCGTGGCTAAAAGCAATTATAATCTCTGCGAGTTTTGCAAATCATTTGGGAAATGAAAAGAATGCGTAATTGCTGGAACCAACATCTTCAACAAAAAAATGGCTCAAGTGATGCTTGTTAGAGAGCAGTCTTATCGACGGACCCGATTGTGATTACGGCGCTTTTCCGCAATTACATGTGCATATGTTTAATGTCACAAAATGCCTCTTTTTAATGAATGTGTTTTTTAATAGAATTAGCAATCAGTCAATTACGATGTGCGTCAAGGCCCTGAGCAGAGAAGTTATCATCCAGAGACTAATGAAGGAATACGTGCCGATTCCTACTGGAAATATGTATTCAGCTCCCGGATTGTAAATGCAACTGAATTATATTATACGCTCACTTAAAACTGAGATTTCAGTAACACTTTACATTAAAGCATCCATGTTATGCTCATTACATATTGATCAAATTAATTACTATAATAGCAATTACAGTATGTGATTACAAACAGCACTACAAAATAATTACATTAACATAGATATATTATTTAACGTAACACTAGGTAAAAACCGACACAGAAACTCTTTATGAAGTAAAAAAAATTAATGATATAACTATAAACACACACACACACACACACACACACACACACACACTCACAATTATATACAAATTAACTGCAAAAAATATTATTGAGTGTAACAGTAGATAAGCATAATACAGAAAGTCTTTATAAATTAAAAATAATAACAATACAACTGTATGTATGTATATATATATTTCTGGCAACAGTGTTGACGACAGACACTATTGGAAGAGAACTGAACTGAGCTGGAACTGATTTCTATTGTCCTCTTGCATTATCAGCACACATTTTTCCTGTTTAACTCTGTAAAGCTGCAATAACACAATCTGTATTGTATAAAGCGCTATATAAATAAAGGTGACTTGATA